GGGCAAGGCTGAAGATCTAAGCAAGGCCATAAATAAACAAGTGACCAGAGTGAAAACACTGAAGAAAAGTAGGCAGGTAGTACTTCACGTAGCGGGCCTCGGCAGTACCACAAACGAAGAAGAGGTAATAGAAGCCATAAATGTCGCGTTAGACGAAGTAGAGAAGGACTTCAGACTGTCATCTCTCAGGCCTGCCTATGGAGAAAGCCAGAAAGCAACCATAATAGGTTCGTTTGCAGTAGCTTACCAAACTAGGCATAATTCGCATAGGATTGGTCCGCTGCCGGATCCGCACACGCAGCGAGAGTAGTAGGTGCTGGAAGTGCTGGATGCATGGAAATCTCCCAGAAAAATGCAGAGCGGCAGACAGATCTATGTTGTGCCTGAAATGCGGTAAACCAGAGCATAGGGCGATAGACTGTAATAATCCAGTATTCTGTCCAATATGCAACGTGGGGGCCATCAAGCAGGAAGACGGTGTGGCGAACAAGAAACTTCACATAATGACCGGCCTAGAATTAACATTACTACAAATTAATGTGGATAGAGGCAGGCAGGCGTAAGATCTCCTCGTACAAACGGCAGGCGTAACACTCGCAAATATAGTAGTGGTGGCGAAACCGAATAAGATACTCACAGATGGTCCAGGCTGGTATACCGATACCAGAAAAGATGCTGCGATAAGAATTCTGAACCAACGAATTGTGATACGTAGTCATGGTATGGGGGATGGCTTTGTCTGGGTTAACATCGATTCAGTGACTATTTTTAGTTGCTACTGTTCACCTAATGCTGAAATATATTATTTTCAGGCTGACTTATGCCGTTTGGGGGATGCTGTAGCAAGCTTTAGGAACAAAGCTATCATATGTGGTGAGTTCAATGCGAAAGCGCCGGATTGGGGTATGACATATTCTGACAGAAGAGGAGATATTCTAACTGCATGGTTAGCTGGACATAATATAGTGGTGGTCAATGAGGGCGAGGCACCAACTTTTGCAAGAGGCGAGTCTGCATCTACCTTGGATCTGACTCTAGCTACTGAGGATGTCTCCACTAACATACGAGACTGGAGAGTATTAGACTTGGAGAGCTTGAGTTGCCATAGCTACATTGTGTTCAAGATGGTTGTAGTGGCGGATTCTGAAACATCTGAACGTCACTAGGTTCCGGAATGAGCTACATCACCGCGCGAAGAAGAACACGGTAACAATAGCAAGGGAGCTTATTCAGTTGTTAACTAAGGTTTGTGATAGCACGATGTCAAGAAGGCAGAGCCGTCACCATAGAAGAAGTGTCTACTGGTGGAAGAGAGCATCAACTAACAGGAACTTGACTTCGGAAACCAGAGATGAACACCATAAAAGAAGTGTGTACTGGTGGAAGAGAGCATCAACTAACAGGAACTTGAATTCGGAAACCAGAGATGAACTGAAACAGGAGTACAGGGAGGCTAGGAAACGACTCGGAAGGCTAATACAAACGCCTAAACGGAGCTGTTGGAAGAGACTTTTAACAGATATAGATAATGATGTATGGGGCAAATGATACCAAATAGTGGTCAAGAGACTGAGTTTGGGTCCTTCGGATAGAATCCCATTTGATAAGAGGTTGGAAATAATCAGAACGCTTTTTCCACCAAGTCATCCACAGCCGGTTGATTCTGATTCAGACAAAGCCAGCATCCCATTTACAATGGAGGAGGTTCAGGAAGCTGCGACTAGGCTGAAGGACCACAAAGCACCGGGGCCTGATGGAATTCCGGTGGAAATCACTGAACTCGCCGTGAAAGAAGTGCCTAGAATTTTCTTGGAGGTGGCAAATCGAGCGCTGCGTACGGGAGTATTCCCAGATTTCTGGAAACTCGCAGACGTAATGCCCCTCAAGAAAAAACACAAACCGGAATTAATACCATCTTTATATAGAAACATCTCATTACTAGACGCATCTAGTAAGCTGCTGCAGCATATGTTACTGAGCCGACTACTCGAAGACATGGATACGGATACGGAACGCATTCAACATGGCATTCAGAGGTGAAATTGTTAGGAAGCTGAAACACATTGTATCAGATGGTGGTGTATTGCGCCTGCTTGTACGCTACTTGGAGAACCGCAAGATCAGGATACAACCTGGTAGGGATCATCTGATAGAGATGAACGCAGGAGTTCCTCAAGGCTCGATTCTCGATCCTACGCTATGGAATATCCTGTACAACGGCTTATTAGAACTGAAAATGCCACACGGTATAACGCCTACGCGGATGATCTTGCTGTAGTGGTCGTCGCCGGAGGTGAGATAGATCTGAAACAGAAGGCTGACTGGGCTATTGAAGAGGTCAGCTGTTGGCTCAAAGGCAGGTCCATGTCCATAGCTCCAGAAAAGACGGAAGCTGTAATAATCACCAAGAAAAGGAGATTACAACAAATATCTTTCCTGGTAGATGGACAAGAGGTTCGACCAGGAAAGGCATCATTATACCTGGGCGTATGGATCGACGGTAGGCTCACCTTTGGGGAGCATATAAGCAGGACGGCGAACCAAGGCTGCCAAACTGGTTGCACTTCTATCCAGACCGATGCCCAACATTGGAGGTCCGCGAGCAAGCAAGAGAGCGACCTTAGGTTCAGTGGCCTACTCTGTAATGCTATACGCATCTCCCATATGGGAAAGGGTCATGAGGGTACACATTTTTCAGGTGTCCTAGATGGGAGGTAGATAGACCAGAATGCAGCCAGTGCTTAGGTATGGAAGTCACTCCGCAAAGCATTGACAACTCGATGCTGCAGTCTCTTGACAACTGGACTACTGTCACGAATATGGCAAGAGGTATATTAGCCAGGAAAATGAAGGAAGTCAAAGATATGCGGAGCCTCGTACCAGATCGGTACATGCCAGAGGACTGACAGGGAAGAACGAACAAATGGGACGAGAGGTCCGACACGTCCAACCTCCCCAAACTCCTAATCCGGTCGATCCGGGAAGGGAGATGCAGGGTGAAAGAAGAGGGTGATAGATGATGAAGAAAAGACAGCGCCTGCGTGCGAGAAGTTATACCATCAGCGGCAGTTGCAGCACGTCAGGAGGTTCATAGACCCACTCGCTCCAGATTGCGGCCTGCCGACGGTCTACTAAAAAAAAGCTTGATTCGCCAACTGACTGCAATAGCTGGTTTAATAATGTGTTGAGGATCCACGATTTCTTATACACTCATCAAGTATCTCATTCCAGGCTACTGCAACTTCGTGAGTAAGAGCTGCCAAAGTGGGTGGAGGATGTTGCAAATTCAAGAGCCTGCGACCTATCATTTCCCAGGCATGTTCAATTGGAGATAGGTCAGGCGATCGTGGTGGGCAAGGTAAACGGTTGATGCGATGTTGATCCATGAAAGCTAACGATGCTCTGGCAACATATTGCCTCTGATGAAATTAGTGGTGATCTGCTACCATAAGCAATAGCACCCCATACCATAACTCCCACGGTATGGTGAACGTGACGCTCTCTCGGGGGCAAAATTAGGAGAACTACCCTGTCGCTGGGAAAAGTGTTACTCAGACATTTTTTGGTTTTGTACGTTTTTTTGGGTATTTTGGGGCGTCACATCATATCCAGTTGCCCAAAGGGTAACTACGGAATTGCGTTCATCAGCAAGTATGTAAGTATGTTTAGCGAACAAAGGCGTCAAGTAGGTAGACTCTGCACTTCCTACGCCACGCCGTCATCAGTTCATCAACTTTTAGCTTAGAAAAAAATGCCAAAAACGAAAACAAAATTAATCTTTTAAAACTTTTTAAGGAATCTTGATCATTTATGAATAATTTTCAAGAGTATACAATTGGGGAATGGGGAGGGTAAATCTCGCAAATCACATATTTCCCGATAAATTTGTCCTTAAAACAAAAATATTCTCAGCAGTCGGATCTCGTACCTATCGGTCGCACTTGCTGTGTGCCACGGGTTTGTAAATAATGCATTTTTGGTAGTGAATTTGAGTGACTTAAAAACAGGTAGCCGACTGCACGGTGACCCGATATGCACTATCGAGGTGGGTGCGATATTATCTATATATATATAAGGCATTATGCTTGGAGTGCAATACATATTGTATTACGTACGTATCAGTCATCAAACATTATTGACAAACAGTTTTACATCAGAGCTCCAAAGAAATGCTTTGTTCTGCAATTTGAGGAATTTTTTTTTTGAGGAGTCGAAATAATGCACTAATGGTTCTGACAAACCCTACTTATTTTGATGTCATTGCAATTATTTTTTTAAAAACCAGCGGCCTACAATTTTTTGTTAGGCATAATATGTTTAAACGGCGCCTATCATGGACCAGTTTATACGAAATTTTTACATATTTTCAAGTGTAGGGCGCCTTTATGGCCTCCTTGATTGTCATAGTTTTCTGCTCCTCCGTGTCAGAACTCTATTTTGAGTTTATGTCACAAACATCTATTTGCATCAAATTGTGCTTGATTTTGAGTTATATCATGTTTTATCAGCCTAAAAATTTCCTACAATTTAAAAAGAAAACATATCTTCACAATAGGAGAGCGCTGACGCTGACACGGGACAAGTGTAATCTAGAAATTTTTGAAGGAAAGAAAGGAGTATGACAATCAAGGAGGCCATAAACGCGCCCTACAATTGTAGGGACGACTGACGATACTGGCCTTAATGACAATATTCTGTATCACCCTATATATCTGAGAAAACATCGACTATTGTGAAAATAATAGCAAAGATGATTCAGGCTTTGATTTGAAATCGAAGGTATCAAAACAATGTGATTTATCAAAACAAAATTACGCATTTTTCCCAATTAGTAGTCTAGCTTGGAGTGTCTGATTATCAATAGGAAATCTGAAAATATGAAGATTATGTTCCACCAAAAATATCTGTGCGACTTACGTCACTACATTATTTGATAGCATTTTAGAATAAGCTCAATTGATTGGTCAAGCGCACTGTCAACTGTCAAACTTTATACAAACCTCTAGTCCATACGGAAGAGATGTCAGAAGGCTGGAAGGCCAATACCGGTATAAAAGATGTCAAAACAGCCATATCACTGCACTTCCACAGTAACCGCTGCATACACGGCCTTTGGTTCATGACACTATTACCATTATCATGCTCTTTTCCATCAATGACCCTTAACTTTTTCCATAGTATAAAGTTTAGTGACATTTGCCGACACGTATATTTCCCGCAACATACTGAGCTTCGTTTATCATGAAAGGAAATGTGAGAACCGAACCTGTCTGATAACGGGTAGATATGAGTTGATAAGGTACATTGCATATATTAAAATATAACAAAAATATTTTCGTTCGACTTAGCGTTAACAAAGTAATAGCTGCCAAAATCAGTGGTAAACATCAGTGGATTGGGGTTATGCTAATATTATCATTATCATACATGTTGAGTTTTATTGTTAGCTTGTTGTGATCTATGTGAAAAACTGTCATATTCATAAAATCAAATATTCGATACTACTATTGTCACTAGAGTGATGACAAAATTGAATATTTCCATAACAAAATCAAGGCAGGAATCAAAACTAGAACGATTTTGTATTCTTTTTGAAATTCTATTAACCATACCATGGTAACCTCTACGCGTAGAGCGGTTTGTTTTCCTGAACCGATTATGTACTAATGAAGAATTATCAAGCATATTTTCACAAGCCCTCATCATATACCCTTTTTCCTTTTCATTTTTGTGGTGTGTGAAAAATACTATTCCATCTCGAAATATATGGTTTGCAATTTGTCTGGCATGTTGAAATCATAAAAATAATGGAAACCATAAACTAGTTCCGCAATGGCCGCATAACGCTCGTTCTGTTCAATATCAGCGCTGAACGGTGAGGGCGGCATTTTTACTACCCTTTTTACTGTTGGGTAGAAACTTATGCATATGCTTGATGTAGGTATATACAGAGTAACTGTACACGACAGCAGATCGATCCATCGTACGGTTTCTCTGGACGGATTGGTCCAATTTGTAAAAAATCAAAGGAGCAAAATTTTTGTTTAAAAACATCCTGAAATGGGGTTGAAAATTGAAAAATCATTTTACTTCTGTCGTCACTGTTGGATACATGTAACACCAACAATTTCTTTTTTCTTTTATTCGGCACACGCCGTCGGTAGCAGCAGTCGCGGCCGGTAGACATGCGATCCATCTACTGAGAATATTTTTCTAGATGTTAATGGCTAATGTTCGGAGAAACCTATGCGTGAAATATGTCAAATAGTTGGGTAGAATTACCAAGATTGTGGTGTACTAACATAAAAAATTGAGATGTACCCTTCCCACACCTTAAAACCCCCACCCCAAAATCTTTGTCTCTAAATTTGTTTTCATAAATGATCAAGATCCTCTGAAATATCAAAAAAATGAAGTTTGAGCGATTTTTGTCCTAGTTCGTTTTTGGATTTTTAAAAAACTACAAAGCGTCCTTAGCATATTAGTAACATTGTGTGAAAATTTCATCGAAATCCGAGCAATACTTATCAAGTTATACGTTTAGCGCACAGACCGACAGACCGACGAGAATAGTTTTTCGTGAGGAACATGTCATATAACATACATAAAACATTACTATCACAGTTTCGAAAATTTTCGCGATTATAATACTTCCCCAGGAAGGTAAAAATTAGTATCGTAGAGCAAACTGTGGCTCGTCCACTCACTATATAAAGGGTGTTCCAGACTTAAATGGACATAGTGTAGTGGTTAGGTAGTATGGACCCAGATCCTTTCATATTTGGAAATAAGAAAGCTCTAAATTTAGTTTTTACGGAAAGTTGCCTAGGAATAACGTAAAACTAGACGAAGGGTTGAAAAGTGCAGGATCTGACTCGATTTTTTTTTAAATTTTTTCACCAACATCAACATCGTCAAGCTGAATATTGAAATGTTTGACTATGTACAAAAAAGCCAATGATTGGCGCTAATTAATTGGCAAAATAGATTGATTGCGCCTCTTTTTGTTTGTTAAACATTTTTCTTTTTTCAAAAATCTTATTTTTAGCAGTTTATGTGACACAAAACTCAAAATTTTAATGGTCATCAACATTGAACTGAAGGTGTTTTGGAAACTCAGAATTCCAGTGCCGGATTCAGTTCTTTTATTGCCTTGCATTTTTTTTAGTAATTTAATTCAACTGATGTTGCATGAACATGAAGAAAAACCTAATATAAAGGTCGGGACTCAGCATTTTCAGATTGTACAATATCAGTTGGCAGAATTAAATCATTAAAACATTACCGAAAGAAGTAAATAGGGTGTATAAGATTAATTTTCCCATTTATTATTATCATCACTCTTTTTTTGCAAAATAATAATAAATTCAGAGTATAACTTATAGTGCGTTACACTTAATAAAATACAAGAAGAAAAAAAAATGAATCTGGCCCTGGATTTTTGAGTTGTCAAAACATCTCAAGTTCAATTTTAGGCATTATCCTGTAAGACTTTGATAAAACCAAGTTGACAACCTTTGAAATTTTGAGTTTTGAGCCACACAAACAGCTAAAAATGATATTTGCTATTTTGCTAATTAACTAGCACCACAGTCAGCTTAAACGGGGACGTTGATACAAAAGCAAAAAAAACTGAAAAGCCCATCCGGCCCTGCATTTTTTAGCCGACCGTTTAGATTCACGTTACTCCTAAGTAACTTTGTTGTCGTGCAAAAATTCCACGAAATTTATTCAATAGGGCCTGAGATATGCGATATTAAAGATTTGGCGTATTAGGCATATCCGTAAATAATGAATTTAGACGTTTTCATTTTCAGATATGAAAAAGTCTCGGTACATATTACTCACTATATCCATTTAAGTACGTGGGAAACATCGAGCCGTTTGGACTCTACTCCGTGAAATCGAATTTTTTGTCCATACAGTCAAAAGATCAAAAGCTAACAACTACGTGCGTTCTACTTTGTAAATATTGCCTCTGCATTACGAATCACTCTGTATGTGACAAGCTACATATCTTGATGTCTTGATGTGATGAGCCTTTGTACTAAATTAAATAATTTGCGAAATCTACGATCTATGAACCCAAATCAAACGAGCGGATAGAGCAATTGTCCAATACATGACTTCATCAAACCACAACCCCAACTAATAGAATTGAAGCAAAATGAAACAATCCTCAACGCTAGAATTAATGGATAAGGAAATTCGGGTAAGGGTAAGGAAAGGGTGTGAAGGACATCGATTATCCCTTCCCGGCATAGTACCGTGATATAATCCTGCCTGGTACAAGTTGTATAATACGCCAGTGAATAATCTAGAAATAGGGGAAGTGCTACAATGGTAATTAATAAAGGATTATATATGGCTTGGTGAAGGGTGAGGTTATTTCAACAAAATAGATTGACTTGTAATCGAATAAAAATTAAGGAATGTGGCGTCAAGAAGGCCGATATAATGATGATAGAAAGTGATGAGTCAAGTAATGAATACAACTTAAAAAAGAGGTAATTAGATATTAAAGTGTAAAACAGGAAAATGAAGAACTGATGAGGGACCCCAAATTTTTACATGTTTAAGTATTATATTTTGGCATATGATTTTGTACAATCTGAAAAAAATCAAGAGAATAGGTTTACAGATAATCCATATAACAATAACATGTACTCGTATTTTCTCATAATTTAAACTTTTTCCAAAAACCAATGTGTAAGAAAATTGAGAAACTGATATTAAGAAAAGTGAGGGAACTTGAAACGTTATCCGGAAGCGTTCATTAACCTATTCGATCTGCTTTGTGAAAGTTGTTGTGGACGTCATTGAAAAGAAGCTATGAGGGAGATGTGTACATAGCTTTTTGAATGTGCATTTTACGTGTTTACTATCCGTCTAGGATTGCCATTCCTACTGAACATAATGATACCTGGAAATTGGAATAGTTTTGCTTTCTCTTGCTCCTTCCCTAAAGGCTTGACAGAATTATGAAATGCGAAAAGAGCCACCAGGGCGAACAAACCAAAAAAGTTTCAATGCGCCCGTCTCCGTTAGAGGGGGAATTCGTCAAGAGCAAAAACATTATTTTGGAAAAATTTGCTGGTATCATTAGAGTGCTAAGGAAAAAATAAATGGCGTCAAGTAACTTGCTTCTGTACTTTCTATGCAGCGCGTTATGTTTGGTACCAGCTAGCCCTTCTGAGGAAAAGGTTAGCTACGAAAATTGTACAACAAAAAATTAAATGACCTGCCTTCTCCCCCTGAGAGAAATTCCTGCAGGTGAATATGATTTTTGCGATGACCAATCCCGCGTGAATGACGGGATTAGTTTTTACCATGCACAGTGCACCTGACGTTCGACGCTTTAAGGGTGAATGTACGGGAACATCTATGATGAGTGCAATATGTCTAATAGGTACGTAGAATTACTGGGGTCGGAGGCGTATAAATAGGCCAACGTCAAAAACTGAGTTATACCTTCCCCCACCCCTTGAAACCCCAAACCCCTACAAAAATTTCTCCGAAACGTCAAAAAACAAAACAAAGTTTGAGCGAATTTTATTTTTTTCGTTTTTTGCCCCTCGCTCCGCCGCCACTTGATAGATTTTCAAAAACTACAAACCTTTTTCGTCCTACTAGTAACAGTGTGTGAGCATTTCATCGAAATCCTAGTGGTACTTTCCAAGTTATAGAGTGGTCAAGAATCACTGGACGGTCCGACAGACCGAGGGAGATGAGTGGTTTTTCCTGATCTTATTATAGACATTTTTCGCGACTACAAAGTTCCTCGCCAGTAGGAAAGTGAACGAAATGTTGCTGAATGACCGAATCTAAATTAAAAATAAACCTCAGAACATGCCATCTACTATCCTGGGACAGACGCAGCCTCGATTCTAACAACTCCGTCTAGAGTTACAAAAATCAAGGGAGCACTGAAGCTTCAGTCAGAAAATAAAAATCAACCCACGTGATATAGCCTCGAAGAAGCTGTTGCTCTCCAAGTTTCATTATATTTGACAAAAACCAATTAGTTCATTAAATTACGTTCCTAACATGATAGAGCAGTCTTACATGCATTTTGGGGGAGAAGTACATAGTTGAACATTCACACCATGAATACGAGGGATGTCTTTTAAGTTTTGCATATGGAAACAAAACAACACGGTAGGTAGTGTTAAATGACTTTATTGTTTTTCGAAGTATTCTCCACGAAGATTAATACACATCTGCATGCGCTCGAACCAATTTTCGAAGCACTTATTCCACTCGTTTGCTGGCAGATCCAAAACGGCATTTTTGAATGCGTCAACTGCTTC